CATTGGGCTTTACTGCACTGCACTTTTACCCTGATCTCACTGGGCTTTACTGCAGTGGACTGTGCTTTTACCCTGATCCCATTGGGCTTTACTGCCCTGCACTTTTACCCTGGTCTCACTGGGCTTTACTGCAGTGGACTGTGCTTTTACCCTGATCTCACTGGGCTTTACTGTGCATTTGCCCTGATTGCACTGGGCTTTACTGTGCTGTACTGTGCATTTACCCTGATCGCACTGTGCTTTTACCCTGATCTCACTGGGCTTTACTGTACTGTACTGTGCATTTGCCCTGATCGCAATGGGCTTTACCGTCCTGGACTGTGCTTTTACCCCAATTTCTCTGGGCTTACTGTCCTGGACTGTGCTTTTATCTTGACCTCACTGGGCGTTATTGCACTAGACTGTGCAGTACCATGAAGCACCACAGTAACCTTGTACAGGGTGCGCTTTGCTGTATGGTACTATATACGGTGTCCTGTTCCATGCTGAACTCCACTGTTCTATGCTGAGCTGCAGTGGGTTCGAGTGCCCACTCTGAAGGAGACTCGGGGTTAATCCCAAACTCCTGGTCTGCGCTGGAAAGCGAGAGAGGCCAGAGGCCAGGCTCCAGGCAGCTGCTGTGTGTCGGTGTGGGAGTCACGCAGGCTTCACCACTCTCCAACGCCCCCCATGCCAGAAGTCACCAGAAGGCCAAAGTACCAACAGAGATCAGCTATTTATGGAGTAATAAATTATTTATTTATTTGGAAAGCTATGAGTTTGACTCATTATATTTTATTTGTGTCTTTTGTCATTGTGCATGGCTGCAATGTGACAGTTGTAATAAATCTGAAGGAGATGCAGAGTGGGTGTCACGGCGGTGAGTCTGTCCGGTGTGGTGTGAAATCAGACCCCCATCAGACATGTTGCAGAATGAATGGACTCTCACAGACTGACAGGACTGACGCCTTCCCGATTCTGGGACTTCCATCCCTCGCACCTCCCCTGGCCACACGGGGCTGGACCAGACAGCACCTCTATTTTCCTCCCGTGAAGACTGAGCCTCGGCGTCAGAGTGAGGGAGCAGGGCAGCCCCAGCAGTGTCGCAGTCTAAGTCCTCCCCCCTGCTCCCTCGCCTCAGGCCGGGAGGTTCCGGCAGATGACGGAGATACGGCGATCCCGGGGGACCCTGCGCCCAGCGAAGAAGGACTCCTCGTCCCGCAGGACCTGGTGTGTGAAGCTGTAACGAGCGCTGTCCCTGAGGGACAGAAGGGAGGGAGATGTGTTCACGTGTGTAAAGAATAGAGCAATTCACACCCTGTGTCTCTCAGTCTCAGCCCTGTGCTGTGGGAGAGTGTGACGTGTCCACCCCGTGTCTCTCTCTCAGTCTCAGCCCTGTGCCTTGGTGCAGTGTGAGGTGTCCACCCTGTGTTTCTCTCTCAGTCTCAGCCCTTGCCTTGGTGCAGTGTGACAAGACCACTCGGTTTCCCTCATATATCTATTGTAGCAAAGCAAGAAACCCATCTTCTTCTTGACTTCCCAGCTCTCACAGAGCACATGGTTCAGGTCTGGCTGTGCTGTCCTGCTTCAGCCAAGCAGCAGTGACCAAACTTGTACCAAACCAGCAGCCATATCACCCTGCAACTCACAACTGGCAACCCACTGAAGCTAAGCAGGTGTGAGCCTGGTCAGTACCTGGATGGGAGACCTCCTGGGAAAAACTAAGGTTGCTGCTGGAAGAGGTGTTAGTGGGGCCAGTAGGGGGCGCTCACCCTGCGGTCCATGTGGGTCCTAATGCCCCAGTATAGTGACGGGGACACTATACTGTAAAACAGGCGCCGTCCTTCGGATGAGACGTAAAAACCGAGGTCCTGACTCTCTGTGGTCATTAAAAATCCCAGGGCGTTTCTCGAAAAGAGTAGGGGTGTAACCCCGGTGTCCTGGCCAAATTTCCAATTGGCCCTTACTAATCATGGCCTCCTAATAATCCCCCTCTATGAATTGGCTACATTACTCTGCTCTCCTCCCCACTGATAGCTGATGTGTGGTGAGCGTTCTGGCGCACTATGGCTGCCGTCGCATCATCCAGGTGGATGCTGCACATTGGTGGTGGTGGAGGGGAGTCCCCATTACCTGTAAAGCGCTTTGAGTGGAGTGTCCAGAAAAGCGCTATAGAAGTGTAAGCAATTATTATTATTATTATTATTGTACACCTTTAGTATCACTCACTGCCTCTGCAATTAGAAAAAATATAGCATAGGAAAATATCACCTGTCCGCAAGCCCAGCAGATCCTCTTACCTGAGGATGTAAAGCGATCGTCTGGGCAGCAGGAGATCTACCCAGTCAGCCATGTCCTGCTCGCTGACCAATCGCATCACGCTATCGGAAAGGAGGCTGAGCCCAGCAATCGTGCTGCCACAGAACTGAGAAAGGGGAGGGGTGGAGTCAGAGGGAGAGAGGGAGGGAGCAAGGGCAAGAGGTGGAGACAGAGAGCAATGAAGGCAGAAGGGGAGGGGCGGGAGAGAAGGAGAAACACTGTTGACACCCTGTCTTTATGTCTCAGTAAAGCTGCTGACATACTGATGCCCGCTGTGTAGCTGCCAGTCAGACCAAGTAAAAGGCTTCTGACTCTCCTGCTGTCCATATACACAACCCACAGATAGAAAGACTGCATCACGTCCCTAACTTATTATGATGACATTTCTATTTCTACCTTTGGTATGTTGAAAACAGATTCGGGCAGGATGTGTCATGGGAAGTCAGCACACAGTCAGTGTATATTCAGCTGGCCAAGTTAACTGGAGCCTCTGAACTCGGGGCAGCCCCAATTGCAGAGGGGCTCAGACGAGATATCAGACCTACCTTGACACTGTCGATGTGTGGCTTGATGAATCCAGTTCTGTCCAGGTCCAACACGTGGACCGGGCCCAGCAGGGGCTCCCCTGCAGGGAATGCTGCCTGCCTGACCCGCCTCAGCACTGCCCAGCTCCCCTCGGTCCACTGCACACGCTCTGTCTCCCGGTAACCATGGATGGCCTGAAGGATGGGAGAGGTGTCATGGGAACTGTAGTCTTTACTATCACAAATATTAATACTACACTGTGACTGTAGCCCCTATTGTAACAGGAC